AATTCTTGATATTGCCTAAGAATTGTTTTCTTAAACACAGTTTGAAAATACTTTTAACTTACTTTATAATAAAAGAAAAATTATATAAAATATTCTATTTAACTAAAAAACTTCAAATTTTGAAGAAGCGACAAAAGCATTTTTACGCTGTTTTTTTCGATTAAATTGGTTTCATTTTCAAATTAAAGACATAATGGTATATTATATAATTAAATCGTGACGTTTGAGTTGGTAAAAACCTTATGAAATGGGAAAATGCAACGTCAGACTCATTTAGCTGGGCAGTTCGGACGTTCCAAGAAGTTTTCTATGGCCTTTTAAGGCTGCAATATATAAAAGCATCTTAATTAGGCGTGCCGCTCTACTAATTCAAAAAGTTTGAAAACTTTTCTAATGTGGCGCCCCGGCCACTTAAAATTCTGCCAACTAACTTCTAATAATAATAATAATTTTAATTGCCAAACGGCAGCAGTTGCCCATTATGCCACAAGCGCAGTGCGGAGTTCAGAACTCAAGAAGTTGGCGCAAATGGCGGCGGCAAATAAAAAATAATAGTAATAAAATAAAAGCAAACATCATGCTGACTAAGGTGGATTTTTCCATGTGTTGTTTTTCTTGCGCCCACTTTGCCTGCCGACCAAAGAGAAAAAACGAAGCTTTCCACTGAGTCGACGCGTCGTTTCGATTCGTTTTGCAGATGACGGACCAGAATCACAGGGCAGCTAATGGGCTTACGACCAAACCAAAAAATATATAAACAGCCTACTTTACACAATTTATAACAGAAGACAAATCTATGGTGTGCCTCGAAATATATTTTATAAAGGGTTTAAGGAAAGAAAATGTTAATTAAATTAATTTATATTCTTTAGCTAAAGATTTAAAAGTAAATGCTAGAGTGAGTATTGTAAAATTCAATTTCTTAGTATTTATATTTGTACTCTAATTAATGCCTATTTCTGCGACTACGCCCAACCCAACCAACCCCTTCTTAAGCGAGCATGTTCATTTATTATTTAACTAAGTACACAACGCTTCCCCTTTTATCTCTTTCTTTGTGAAAAAAAACAAACTGTATCAAATATTTAAAAATTGCTGCTATTGCTGCTGAGGTTGAACCAGCGATTTCTCGCTTGTTAGTCCGAAGCTCAGAGCCCCAAGCCACACAAAATATTAACATGACGTTTGTTAAGCACGTTCCACTTTGTTCTTTCGTACTTTCTATGTTAATTTTTATTTAAATACCTTAACTTTTAATTATATGATGGGTTTTGTTAATAAGTAAATATTTATATACAAATAAATAAATAACTATATAATATCTGATAATCATTTAGGCAGAAATGCTTTTCCCAGTAATTGATATTTGTTGCTGATGTTTGATGAGCTTTCAAACAAATTATGATGAGGCCATTAATACATTTGTTAGGAAGTTCAGTGATTTCAAAGAAAATGGAAAATTTCTTTTTTAGAAACTGGAAAAGCTGCCTGGGAAACGACAGTTGCCGGCTTTAAATCGGTCCAACAGAGAAAAAAGAGACAAACAACGCGCTGTGGCATCCTTAGAGGTATTCACGCTTGTGTTGCGCACATTGCGAGCGCTTAAATTGAAATTAAATAATGGCGCACAGTGCGCCCTGTCAGAGCTGTCAGCAGGGAGGGTGAGAGGGTTCTGGGCCAACGCAACTGTCTAATTGAACTAATAGAATTTGTTTTTTATTCACACCCGCACGCGTCAGATAAGAGCAGCTTTCGGGTATTTTTGCTGGGCACACGGAAAAATATGTTTTGAACGGACGTTTTACCCCGCATCCGGCCGCTGTTCGCATTAAAAATTATGATTTTTCTTGCCACATTTTTACAGAGGGCAGCGGCGAAATGCGAAATGCTGCCAAATGTAATCATTGCTGCTTTTAGCTGGGTGCCAAACGCCCGAGGCGCAGCTCCATGCCGTACCTAACTGATTTCCGGGAATTGCTACACACCAACACACTCACACACACACACACACTGGTTTATCGTGTCCTTTTTAAACTTCAACTGCGATTGGTTGCTGCGGGGCCAAGTGCCGAGGATGTAGTCCTGGCGACCAGCAGCGGGCAATCAGTTTAAGCTGTCGAGAATTCTCCGAGGAGGCTATAAAACGAAAAAATTGCTAGCAGTAATGCGTTGCAGGCAATTCGGAACATGCATGTACATGTTTGTAAGGCCACTTTAATCAGAGCATATATACTAAACCATACACACGCACACACACACACACACGCACACACACACACGCACGCACACAGCGTTTTGTGCGGCTCCAAAATCATTGAACCTCGAGGCGAGGCTTAAAAGCCGCAAAGGCGCCACGAGGCAGCGTTGCTAGTAGAAAGATCCCAAGACTCAAAATGACAATCCCTCACATAAACCAAGGAACCACTTGGTGGTCTCTGCTGCGCCTGCGGCTGTTCTGGAGGCAGCTGTGGAACGCAGCATAAGGTCGTCATAGGCACATTCGAGCAGTCAAGAGCAGCGCCAAATGTCGACGCATTTGTGGCAAGAGCAGAGCCGATTTGCTATTTGTGTAGTGAACGGCAGCAGCAGCGGAATGAGGAGAAGGTAGGGGAACAGCAACATCGGGAGGGTGGAGTTAGGGAGGCACTCAACTTGTTATTTCAACTGTTTGTTGTTTCTGTTTCTCCCCAATGTTGTTGTTGTTGTTGTAGTTGTGGCAGCCACGTAATGCTGCTTGAGATGTCAAATAGCATAGCGGCAGGCAGCAACAACTGCTAAAACAGGAAGCACTTGAAAATTGAAATCAAGCGCTGGGCGCCACCAACGCAATGGCAACAGCAACAGCAACAGAAATAATAATAATAATTCTGCTTACCCAAAAATATAAAAAAAAGCAAAAACAAAACATTAGCAACAAAAGCCAGGCAGCTGAGCCGAAAGGTCCTCCAACGCAATTTGCATATGAATATGGAGGGCTCAGAGGCAGCTTTTGTGTTGCTACGCGGCACGCGGCTTGCAACAACAGCCACAGTCAACAACAACAACAACAACAGCAACAGCAAATGATATGTTGTTTTCTATATGAATAAACCAACAAAAACAACAAGAAAGACTCATGATGTGAAAGCTGCTGTGCCAATAGCTTATGTTGTAGTTATTTGCCGCCGGTAAAAACAAAAACAATAAATAAAATTGTGATCTAGTCGAGGGTATACGACGAAAAGATACCCTTTAAAATTATGCATGGAGTAACTTATATATAATTTGAACGATTAAAAGGCATTTTGCTGATTTAGGGATGAATTGGGTAGTGTGCGCAAAATCTTAAATATTTCGATATGCGTTCGATATAGTAATGAGCATCTGTATGCCACAAGCTCGTATACTTATTTCTCAATCATCATTTAATATATGGAGACGGCTGCGATTGATCTATGTAAGATGCAACTTTAGGAAGTGTTGCTCGGGCCAACGATGTATAAGAAATATCAGACAAAATAATGCACCTATTGCTATTTACTACTTATTTACTATTTACTATTATTGTTGACTTGTCTAATGTCTGACTTGTAGCTTAGTTTATTGCTCTTTACTCTTTTCTTTATACAAATGCTGTTCGTTCCCCCGGTTGGCAATGTGTTTAAATAAGAAGAGGGAAAGATATACAACCTTTTAGGTCACACTTTATTTGCTTATATACCAAATCTAGTCATACCTTTTGCTTAGGCGTCTCTTTAGTTCGTGAAAGAGTATATTTTTGCTTTTCTTAGATGTTTTCTACCAGTTTCTAGTTCAGATAAGAGATTGTAAATCTTCATGAAAATACCCCAAATATGCCATATTATTATGTATGGAAAACTATGGTCACACGAAAGTGATCGCATCTAGCTGCCAGCTCGAACTTCTATAGGGTATACGAAAATCTTTAACTGTTGTTTTGTGCTGTTGCTGTGCTCCCAAGTTGCCTGTCAGTGGTGGGCGCTAGATGGCGCCACACGCCAGTGCTAAATTGAATAAAGGGCCTCCCAGGACAGACAGGAAGCTACACAACAACGTACACCCACACCCCGCAACCCACACACACACACAGACATGCTAGCGCCTGAATGTAAGGGCCCAAAAGTTATGTAGTGTACTCGAGGCTACCTTCCTTTATGGTCGCTTGTTTTTCTAGCCGTTTCCCTCGACTTTTTTCACTTTTTGGGTTGCTTTGAATTTAATGGAAAATTTATTGACGACATGCCGCTTAGTCGTTTGACTTGGACTTGGACTTTTGCCACACAGCATTTCCTCCTCCCTAAACTAAGCTATTGCTGTTTTATCATGTGTGCAAAAGTTTTCCCATTGGGGTTTTATGAACTTGCACATGCCCTGCACTTGACTGAGCTAAGAGCTACAGACGTATCTTGTATGGGTGTGGGTGTGTGTGTGTGTGTGTGGCACAATAAGGGTATTATGTGAAATTGTGTGCATTGATTGATTGTTAAATACTTTTAGCAATGCTGTGGGTAATTTGACAATGTTCAAATCTTCAAAGTAAACATGAAAATTGTGACAAAAGGGTCGTGAGAAGCGCACAAGCTTCGACAAGTTGAGATTCTGTTGAAATTGTGCTGCTTACCAAGTTGTTCACTTACCATAAATTAGAGTTATAATTTCGCTTAGCCAAATCAACGACGCAATAAGCTCGCAATGGCACACACACATGCGAAAGGGCTATTCCAAGTCAAAGAGCGTAGCAGAACGGATCAACCCCCAAAGGAAGCACACAGCCAAGGGTGGCTGTAGCCAAAAAACTTTTCTCGCGTGTTTTACCAACTTTAATATTTTATACTGCCGATTTTCTTTATGGGCTTCGGCCTGCCGCACCCCCTTTTAAGTACTCTCAGAACTCAACAAGTTCCCTGGCTTTGGCTAAGGACACGCCCGCACGTTTCGCCATTAGTTTATGATTATTGGAGTTTGGCAAGGGATTCTTAGACTTCGTAGCAGTTACTCACCTGTTGTCGGCAACTTGGTCAGCGTTGGTTGTCCATTGTCATCGCTCAGCAGCAGCAGCAGAATTTTAATTATTATAATGACAAAAATGCGTCGATTGTAAAACAAAAACATTGCAATCTGGCGTTAATTTCCGTTGGTTTTTCCAGTTTCGGTTAGCTAACCGCAAACTCAATCGCAATCGCTATTATCTCTTTTTTGGTTGTATTTTTATAAAGAACTCGATTTCCTGCTCGTTGTCTTCAATTACTGCGTTACTTTTGAATGTTCTTCTTAAGTGCATCGTCTTATTGTTACTTGCATTTTATGCACACACACACACGCACACATTTACATTGTTTATGTGCACGCTGTCACGACTCTTCTTTGTCCTTTCAATCTAAAAATCAACAAATTTGATATTCTTCGCTCTCTCTCGCACACACACACACACACACACGCACATGCACAGCAAGTGGCGAATCGCTGTGCTTCGATACGCACACAAAAGTATGCTAATATATTTAAGCTACGTTTATGAAACATGCATAAATATTTTACGCGTGCAACAGTGCGTATACGTATTTGCTTAATAGGCCGCAAAACACTGGCGCCGCCAAAGGCGCCAATATCAAAATATGATTTGACGTCAGCGTTGGGTATGGTGAAATTGATGGCAATGGGCTCTAGTTTATCGTAAGTTAAGTGTGGGCTAGTCAATGTATAAAATCCCTAAGCTAAATGGGATAAGGTTAAATTAAATTTGAAATATATATTTTTGCATTTATTTAAACTAGTTTTTAGTTCCGAAAGTTAATATTTAACCAAGTTTTCTAATTTTGCAAGAGCCTATTCTGGAAATTGTATAAATGTTAACCAAACATCTGATAAAACAAACGTTAAATTGCAAGTACATATAAATTGAAGAGAACTGAATAGTTTAACGTTTGTACAATTCAATAAAATATTTAACATTTAATTAACAACACATATGAAAAATGTATTTTCAAAGAATTACTATGCTAATAATATCAATTAAATTGAAGAAAATTTAGTATCTGATTTAGTTAACACACACTTTTAAAATGTAGTGCTCGTATGCGAAAGGAATTCGACTTTGTAGCATATGAAAATGCCAATCATTCCAAATATACTTTTGTTTAACTAGCTTTCAATGACTGTTATTAATGGAAAAAATTAATAATTCTTTTATGATAGATATCATATAAAATATGAAATTTGCATTTCATATGGAAGAGCACCTACTGGAGCATAATGCGTACTTCCCTACAAACTACCAAAGTACTTTTGAGAAGTATAACAAATCTCTAGAACACAGCCCAATCTATATGCGTCGCCCAACTCTGCTATATGTTGTTCGCCTTGTCCTTGCTTTCTACTGTTTGATGTGTGTTGTATTTGAGGTTTTTCCTTGCACCGCAGCTCACACACGTCTATGACAAGCTTTGCTTCAGCTTCACCCACTCCTGCTACTTCATTATCATCATCAGAATGATGCTGCGGCGTCGTCTGATGATGCCATAGCAGCCTGGGTACATTTCAATTGCAGAACCAATGCTAAAGACAACAAGTACCCGAAATGCGCGTGTATCTAGCTGGAGTGCACGAATTCGCGCGGCAAAGAAAAAAAAAATAATACGAAGAAAACGTCGCATAAATGAATGCTAAAATATATTTCGGCAACGCTGACATTGCCATTATTGTTGTTGCTTCAACTACTATCAAAGGCTTTGCGAAGAGAGAGGAAAAAAGTACAAATAAAGCAGATGGCGTCGTCAGCAGCGACGGCAACTGCGGCTGCGACGCTGACGTAGCAGCCGCTTCCAAAGTTTTTTACATACATACGTACATACTTATTTGTCGGTATGTGTGTGCGTGTATTACATTAGCTGTTGCAACGGAAATATTTTGCGCTATTGTTTAACTTTTCCCTGCATAAAATAATATATTTTATAAATCAAGGCAAAAATGCAGAACGACAATTTCAAATTGTGTGTGTGTGTGTTTTTTTTTGTGGTATTCAGCGTTCAAATTTAATATTGGTTTTTATTGCGTAAAGTTTGCTCATTGTTTAAAACTTGTATTTATTGCCATTGCCAACGCATTTGTGTATTTGAAAAAGTTTTTAACAAAAAGCAAACAACGTTTTTCTCCGTGGTTTTTCGCTGCCGGCAGCAACTGCAAACAACAAAAAATTGCCACGCTCAATTGAGAGATAAGGAAGAAGCGCAACGGAAATCATATCGGGGTAGTTGAGAATTATATAAAACAAATTTGACTATGCGAAATATACACACACACACATACACACAAGAGTTCGCACGCACACGCACACACATACACATGGTTAAAAGTTTGTTTTGTGATGTGGCTGCGGATGCCGGTCAAAATTGAACGACGACGCAAATTTCGATTTCCTCGAAATTCTACCTTGTTGTGCCTTCTATTATGGTTATTCTTCGCGTTCTTGTTTCTTCATCATCGCCATTCACATGCTTCATCATGAGCGTTAGCCGTCATATACATTTTGTACATTTGTTTGCAAAACGACAACAGCAGCAGCGGCACCGGCAGCGACAGCGCAGCTTACTAAGCTTTTTCTGAGCATCCACATTCGCATCAGCAACAGCAGCCCACTCTCACTTTGGTTCTGGTCCTCTGCTGATGTTAACGCCAACGCCGACGTCGCACAGTGCACAAGCAACAAGAAAGGAAATACACTAGCTTGGCAATGTTTACATATTATTATTTGCTAAAAAAAATAAAACTATTGTTTTACACGCAAACTAATGTCTAACGTGACAGAAGCCATACGTTTTTTATAGCTTCAAAATTTCAGCTTAATGATACGAAATACTAACAAAAATACTTCTAGAAAGATTAATAAATCTTTTACAATTCAAATTAGGATATAACAAGTTAAATATGAGTTATTCTCTTGTGTTTGAAAAAAAAATATTTTAGAAGTCTTAATTTATTAAAATTATAATTCAATTTGTTGGCACTAATATATTTTAATATTTAGATATTAAATATTTTGATAATTAGATAATGCAATGCATCAAATATGTCATTTCTTGATTTGCCAATGTTTTCTTTATTTAGTCTTATTTAAAGTTTATGTATTTTACGTTGAATATTTAACGTTCAAGCAAATATATGTACGTTTGTTTCTATTATTTTTTAATCAATTTGTTACACTGTGCGACGTCGCTGCTGTTTTGCTCCTTGTTTTTGCTACGCTTTCGCTTTGTGTTTGTACGCCGAGCTTTAGCTTTGGCTTTGCCTGCTCGCCTGCCTGCCTGCCTGCTACAACTGCCGCTGTTGCTTTCATGGCCTTGTGTGGCTGTTGCTGTTGCTGTTCTTGTTGTTGTTTTTGTTATTGCCCAGTATGTCACTGTGTGCGTGCGTGTGCTTTTTTGTTCGACAGCAGCCTTTGTGGCCTGGCCGAAGAACTACTACTGTACTTGGCGGCTTTCGCAGCCGCAGCCACAGCCGCAGCAGCAGCGCCACAGAGAACACAGTCGTGTGCTTTATTGCGTTTTATATCCTTTTTTGTTTGGCATCTTTACCTCGTGCGTTCATCGCTGTTTGTTTGCATGGAATTTCTCATTTTAAAATATTCATTTTATTATTTATGCCTATCGGCCTACCCCTCCATGTCGCACAAACAAACACAGGCACACGCACAGGCACATTGACGGCGACGATGACATCGGCACGCACGCACTTGATTTCTTTGTTGTGATGCCTTATTATGTCATAATTTATTTGCAGCAGGACACAAAAATCAACAATGCCGGAATTTGCAGCAGCAGCAGCCAATAATGAATCACATTTCATTTGATTTGCAGCATGAAAACATAGCCCATGTGTCTCTTTTTATCTCTCTTACACTCTATTTTTCTCTCTCATTCTCTGTTTTTCTCTATGTGTGTGTGTGTGTGCGTACGCACTGCACCGGCTTTTGTTGCCGCCATCGTCGCTGCCTGCGCCCCCGCTTACTGCTGACGCCATAGCTTTGCTTTGTTACTACCTTTGTTGTGTTTTTTGCATTTCCGCTTTATGTTTGTATTTCGCTGGCTCAGCCTATCAATGCTTCTTTATTTGTAATTTTTGCACACACACACTCTCACGCACGCCTTAGCATTCGGCGACATCAGCGTCGACCGCTGCCGCCGCATAAATCAACAAATTACAATTATTTTCACTGTCGCTCTCGGAATTATTTTGCGGTTTTTGTTGTTATTATTTAGCATTTTTGTTTGTTGCTTTATGGCACTCTGCGCGTGCAATAACAAGAAGATAGACACGCACACAGAAACAAATATTCGTCAGCGCCAGTCGAAGCGCCGCTTGAATATTTACAACGCTGCACTAAGAATTAAAATGCGAACTCGACGCGCGACGTCGCCAGCGAGCAGCAAACACGTCCAAACAGTTTGTACGCCATTCGTGTACTGGGAGCTTTGGTCCGAACTGGCGCTGGCACTAACATGTTCGCACACACAACACACACACACACGCGCACAGAGAGCAGTCATACAGATACTCGTAAGCTTGCGTTTGCCGGCGACGTCGACGTTGACGCCAACTTTTGTTTTTGTTTGCGCTGCAAAAAGAAGAAACAAAATTCAATGGCAGCGTCAAAAGCTCGCCACCATGAATGAAAGTTCGCCATAAGCGAAACGGAAGAAAAACGATGCACAAAATAAACTGAAAGAACTTTTAACGTTGAAAGCGTTGTTAGACCTGGCGTTGCCATCGTAAATAAAAATGCAAGAGCACTAGATATTATTTTTTTGTTGTTCAATTTTATAGGGATTTGTGCTTTACAAAAAACGTGTTATTTCAAAAGAATTGCAGTTCTTTCAGAAGTGGTAATAAAAATCGATCATTCGATCTTAAAAATGTCCGCAAATTGGTGGGCAAATTATGTAGATTATAAATAAATAAGTGTGTAGGTAAATACCTTGCACCTGCAATAGTTTCGTTTTATTTTAATTTGTTTAGTCTATAAGGCGGTCACATCATTCTAAATAATGGAAAGTATCGATGTTCCATATGCGCTGCTTGAATTTTACAACACTCATTGCGCTAATGTAGCAGCAAGCTTTTTGCTATCCAAGATTTGAGCGGTCTTTTTGAATGGACAAACCTTCAGGCCGAATATTATTAAAAAACCAAATATAAAATTTTATGTAGTTTTATAAAATTTACCATGTGATACAGTTTTGCTTTATTGGGCGCTCACACTACATAGAATTCATGCACTGATTTTTACATTTGTATTTATTATTAATTATTTCAATTGTTTGACTGTGGATTGATTTTGAATATGGTGTCAGTTTGTTTAATGGTTTTTTTAGGTAACTAATCCGTCTCCGATCGTGGCGAGCGTGTTGATTGCTTCTTGGACTTTTTATGCTTGCGCTTTTTGGCGTCGTGGCTGTTGCCGCGACTTTCGCGTCTGACGCGACTGCCCGATGGATCGTCCTGGTCGTGTTCTTCCTCCTGCAGCTTCTTTAGTGTCTCCGCCTTCAGACGCTCCAGTTCATTCAGCTCGCGAGTGGTGCGTTCTTTTTCAAGTTCATCCTGCCGCTGCTTCTCAGCGCGTCGCTCCTCCTCCTTGGCTATTTCCTTGCGCATATGCTCCTTGAGCAGCAGAGCGGCCTCTACCCGCTTCTGCATTTTCTCGCGAGCTGCTTTATCCTTATCCTCGGATTCCGAGCCAGGCACGGCCGAGGAACCCTTCGGCGGACTCCGTTCCCGCGAGCGACGCTCTTGCGAGCGCTGACCGCGTCGCGGCCGGCTGGTGCTGCGTGAGCCGCTGTGCCGCCGGCCACGACTACGAGTGCGTCTTCGCTCTGTCGATCCATGGCGCTTGCGACTGGGTGAGTCTCGTCTCTTTCGGTCCGGTGAATCTCGTCGCTTGCGGTCCGGCGACTCTTGCCGCTTCCTAACGGGTGACTCTTGCCGTTTCCTAACGGGCGACTCTTGCCGTTTCCTAACGGGTGACTCTTGCCGTTTCCTAACGGGCGACTCTTGGCGTTTCTTAATCGGTGACTCTTGGCGTTTCTTAATCGGTGACTCTTGGCGTTTCTTAATCGGTGACTCTTGGCGTTTCTTTTCTGGTGATTCTTGCCGCTTTCGCACAGGCGACTCTTGGTGTCTGCGATTTGGCGACTCCTGACGTCTGCGCTCGGGTGATTCCTGGCGGCGACCACGACTGCGGGAGCGTCGCTGGCGTTCTCTGGACCGACGGCGCTCCACAGGCGAGCTGCGGGTGCGTATGGGCGAGAGCGGAAAACGGTTGCGGTATTCGTTGTCCGGAGACCGTTGGCGTCGATCTCGATCGGCAAAGGGATTGCGACGGTTGCGGTTAAACTGATTCTGGCTCATATTGTTGATGTTGTTATTATTATTGCCATTATTATTACTATTATTGCCCTGGCGTCGAGGAGGCGAGCGCTGCTGGCGACGAGCCGGTGAACGTCTGCGTTGAGCGGAACGGGATCGACTCCTATGCCGATTGCGAGAACTAGAGCGCTCTCGACTGCGCTTAGATCTCTCCCGCTCGCGGATTTTGTCTTCTGCCTTGCGTTCATCTCGCTTGTTGCGACTTTCTGCTGGCGGTTCGACTACCTTTGGGCGTTCATGCTCCTTTGCAGAAGACGCCTTGGACTCGCTGTGCTTTTGGGCTGACTTGCTGATCTCGGGCTCGGGCTCACTATCCGTCTGCTGTTCGTAGTCCAAGGCGTTCATATCAACGGATTTGCGCCGCTTTGGGGGAGCTTCCTCTTTGGGTTTTTCCTTTTCGCGTTCCTTCTCGTGGCTTTCCTTTGCCTTGCCGCGTTCTGAGTCTTTCTGCGAATGGGATGTGCCCTGCTTGGCATTGCTGCCGCTCGACTGTTTCTGTTTCGAGGGCGACTTCTCAGGCGTCACCTTGCCGCCGTAGGTGCTAGCGTGTGACAGCTCAAAGAAGGACTTTTTAGGATCCTTGGAGGCCTCCTCGTGCCTTTTTTTGCGCTCCTGTTCACGACGCCTCACCTCCTCATCGCGCATCTTGTTCTCCTCCTCCATGCGCTCCAGATCCGACAGCTTGATGGTGCGCTTCTGTGCATGCTTCCAATGCGGCGGCGTTATACTCTTCGATCGACTGCGCGAGGGCGTGCGGAAGCGCTGTGAATGAAAACAGTTTTGATTTATATTGTCTATATACATGAGGCTACATATTTTGGGGGGATGTATATGTTGCTTACAAAGACGCCACGCCCCTTGACAATGCGTCCGCTGCGAGAGGTCGGCACCTGCTTCTTTGACCAGCCAAAGGCGTTACGATTACGCTCTCTGCCCCTATCGCGATCATCACGGTCACGCTCCCGATCACGATCGCGATCGTGCTCACGTTCACGCTGACGTGCATCACGGCCTCCGCGCTCCTCACGGGAACGTGATCTTTCGGCGCGCATTAGGAATTTATTCGAAACCTGAATAAAGTAGAGATCAGAACAGTTTCAGAGGGCAATCTCTCAAAAGGAACTTCGATGCGGTGCCAAAGCACAACAGTCCTGGATTCCAATTTAATATATAGTATCTTCTATGGTTATACAGCCATACAACACCTATCTCGAGTTTAATTTATACCTCTGGTATCTCGCTGGGATCAATTTTTGTTAGCGTAACCAACGGATGTATCTCGCCCTCCTCTTCAGAGTAATCTTGGCGTCCATTACCGCGGGCAGCACGTCCCGAGTCGCTGCTGTAGTAAATAATCATAAAGCTTGACTTTGAAAATGCATTTTACTTAGGAATGTACGTACTTTTCACTGCCGCTCGAATTGGACTCCTTGCGTGAACGCTTCTTCTTTAGTTTATCCTTGCGCTGCTTGACCAGCATCTCCTCATTGTCGCTTGCCGATTCTTCCGATGCCGTTGAACGCTTTCTGCGTTTCTTCTCCTTTTTTGCTGCTAAACAATTGGGCAAGAAGTTCAGATTCATGATTGACAGTTGACTGAGAGAGCTGGGACTCACCCTTTGTTTGCTTGACCAACTCGCCGCAGTTGGCTATGGCCGCATCCTGTAATGGGCGCGAATTGCGATCAATGGGCAGATCCTCTAACTGACGCACCAAATCCTGACCGGATAAAACATGACCGAATACAACATGGATACTGCAAGTTGAAAAGAGAGACAGATATTTATGGATAAGTATTGTAGCTTATGTTTGGGCTTAGGCTTATATTTATTAAAATTGTAAAACGTTCAGTTTTTTAAACATTTAATGAAATAATCATAACATAAAAGTATTTGTTTATGTTCTCAATCATAATTTAAGCTTTGTATAGAAAGTTTTGCTAATTTATTTTAATTTTTGAGTATGATTTTGAAACCCCTTCTCAAATTAATATTTAGATATGATTAACTTCTATATATTATATTTTTAAGCAACTGTATTGCTTTGGGGAATTATTTTTATGTTTTGGAAGCGTTTCTATATTATTATCTACAAACATTCTAAATGTATTCAAATTGACGTATTTGGATTTTTATGTATTGCTAATTTGTTTAAAATAAGTAACAAAAAACTTACTTGTCCAAGTGTGGCGCAGGCTGTGTTGTACTACAATGAAAAACAGAAGAGAAGAAAAATATTCTTTACACATTGCAAACTTGTTCAGGTTGTTGTTTGGTTGTTGGTAGCGATTTGTTGTAGTTTTCTACGGTTGTTGTTGTTTTTGTTGTTGTTGTTGTTGAGTTGTTGTTGCTGTTGCTGCTGTTGTTGTAGTTGTTGGAGTTGGTGGAGACAATGTTTGTGCAAACAGCAAACTAAAAGGTATCAAGTCGAAGAGACGACGCTCCGGCAACGACAACTGCGACAGCTGAGGCCCGTCTGGCTCGGCTACGGGTCATCTCATCACTTGGGGTCATCTCAGCGATTGGGCTGTCATCCGGGCCCGGGTCCGGGTACAGCTGTTAGCCACACACTCTTTTATTGTGGCTGCGGCTGTCGTTGTTGCTGTTGCAGCTGTTGCTGTTGTTGCCAAGGAGAGCCGAGTGAAGGAAGACGACGGCTTCAGCAATGCCAAGATGCACCCACTGACAGACACACAAACAGGACACACACACAGACACACGCACACACTAGTGCACGCATGTAGAGGCCGGCGTTGGGTTGGAGAGGGGAGTGAATCGGTGTCGGTGTCGATGTCGATGTCGGTGGGTGCTCAGTCCACTGGTCAGAGATATTGCATACACTCGCTATACGGCAATAGATCAATGAACAACAACAGAATTTTAAATATAGATAAACAAAGTTCAAAGAAAAATAATTATGTATGAATTCATGTTGTTTGGCTGCAAGAGAAACTTTTACAATTTTCACATCGATTAAATAGGCAGGATAACATAGCTCAAACCCAAAAAAGGGCGCCACAACGAGCCCACTTACATAAAGAACTGCGAGCCGTTTGTGTTCTTGCCGCGATTTGCCATCGACAGCAGAAAAGGACGATCGTGCTTTTTGTCGAAACATTCGTCTGTAACAGATGTTGAAATAATTAGATTAATATTATTGAAAAATTACTTAAATATAAATTAAAAACAATGTTCTACCGTCAGAAAGTATCTTATATATTTTAATACTTTTTCCTTTTGTATTCCCGCTATAACGGCATTATCTG